ACCCTGGCAGTCCGTGGGGTTAGATAGCTTTCCCCAGGCCAAGTAGCCCGGGTCACCCAGTGCCCGTTGTCCTTGTCTCCCTCCTTCCCAGCACGGTTCCGGTTCCGCTGCTGATAGATAGCATCTGTCCTACCAGCCCAGGTTCCTGGGTGGCACCCAGCAATTGTTTAGATCCTTTGTGTTAGGTGAAGCAATCACCTAACACAGGCTTGAACTAAAGGTTAGCATTGGTTAAGATTGGTGTTACCTTGGTAAGGTTTGGTGCTGCATTGGTAAGGTTTGGTGCTGCATTGGTAAGGTTTGGTGTTACTTTGGTAAGGTTTGGTGCTTCATTGGTAAGGTTTGGTGTTGCATTGATAAGGTTTGGTGCTGCATTGGTAAGGTTTGGTGTTACTTTGGTAAGGTTTGGTGCTGCATTGGTAAGGTTTGGTGTGTGGTTTGGTGCTGCATTGGTAAGGTTTGGTGTTGCATTGGTAAGGTCTGTCTACATTGTTAAGGTCTGGTTTACATTGGTAAGGTTTGGTGTTGTGCTGGTTGAGTTTCTGCAGACGGAACTGCTTTTTAAAATCTTATATTTCTGTCATCTTAGAGCAAAATTCCAGGAGGATAAAGTGAGATCTAGATTGTTGTTTTTTGTTATTGTTACTTGTTTTTTTAATTTTTTCTCCTAAATTCTTAGTTCTTCTTTGAACCAAAATGGAAGCAGCATTGACTTCAGGTGGCTAAGTTTCACAGCAGTAACTTAGCGACCACAGGGTTGGTGTCAAGAGACTGGGTCAAAGCGAATGACAGCACATGCCATGGCTTTTTCATTTAATTTTTAGTTTCCTTAGCTGCAAACTGGCTAGAAGCCATTTGTGTCTGGCTGCAAGGACACAGAGCCTTCCCCCCCCCCCCCCCGAGACCCTGGGTTAGTGAGTCACACGTGTGACATGTGAATATTCAGGGTAGCCCCGTCACTCCATTCCAGGACCCGCTCCCCAGGGCAGCCACAGCCACGAGCTCCTTGCTTCCTTGCTGTTAGTGTGCCTGGGACTTGGGTGGCTCAGTACTGTCCGAGCCAGGGGTGAACTCCCTGCTGCCCTGTGGCGGACCACGGGCCTCCCCTCTTTTGAGTAGATCTTCTCTTTTACTTTGCGAGCCCATGCGTGTGTCTGTACTGTGCACGTCATCCCCGGTCTTCCCTCTGCCTCTGGCTTCCTTGTCCTCCTCCTCTGCGGTGGGGACCCTGCCGCTGTCCCAGGTGGCCCCATGCTGTCTCACCCTTCACAGCACCATCGCCTCCCTCCCATGATAAGAGCTGTTCTTCCTTGGTGAGCATTTCTAGCTTTGCAAACAGACTGCTCCTGAAAGCCGACAGGCAGCGAATGGTTCTTGAGTGGAGGCTGAGTGAGCCAGGCTGCTCTACCGCTGAGCCAGCCGCTCAAGCAGGCTTCCCCCTCACTTCCTCCCAGCGTCCCTTTTAGATGTGGCTTTGTTTGTTTCCTATTTGCAGAAGGTGAAGTGGGGCCTGCTCACTTCACAAAAGTATTTCCAGTGTTCTCAAGAGTCTTGCTATGCAGCCCTTGCTAGCTTCAAATTCGGGCCCCTGCCCCTGCCTCAGCCTCAGAGTGCTGGGCTTATAGACACGTGTTACACACCGTTCTTTTATTTGCAGTCTGGTTTGCTCTTTGTGGAAACGTTCCTACAGTCCACGGCTCGCGTGCCGACCTGTCTACGTGCTTTTGGCCCCACCCCCACTCCTCTGCCCTCCTGGGCTCCTGAGTTGGCCCTGTCCCTCGCCCTATATTGCGCTCATCTTGAAGTCACTTTAGAACTTGGTCAGGAGAGTGGCGCTCTGTTGCATGAGCATCTGATGACTCTGACTTGCCCTCCTCTTGGCTGAGGATTGGGGACCAGCAATTTTCATTTAGAATTTTGGAGGCCTTCACGGCCTTCACGTGACTGTGTGGATCTCTCAGCTGATGAACCCCACTCCCTGCCCCGTGGAGGTCTTGGGGTTTGTTTCTCTGTAGGACTTTAGCTTTTACTGTGCGGGGACATGATTGGCCGCTCACTTTCAGGGTCTTTTCTTGCAGACTCAGACTCTCTTGGCATTTTTTTTTTTTTTTTAGATAGGAGGATTGAAAGGGGGGAGAAGGGTTAATTTATAAGAGTGTGTTTTTCTTTTCCTTTAATTGCCCTTTTTCAAGGGTCTGGATTTTTAAAGAGTGGGGTTTTCTGTTTGCTACAGGGTTTGTTTGTGTTTGCTTGCTTGCTTATGGTCTTTCCCACTGTAGCTGTAACACTAAAAGGGAGTTTGGGGGCAGACGAAGGCTGCGGGGGGTTGGGACCTAGGCTCTGCCACAGGACACTGTCGGGTCTGCAGTTATCTGCACCAAGGGTTCCCATCCCATCCGGGTTAACTACACACTGCATAGCTTGCTCCCAGCAGCTAGTTGGTTCATCCTAGTTGTTTGCTTGGGGACAAGCATACATTCCAGTTCTCTGGCACACGGAGCCCTGTGGCTAGATCCCAGAGACACAATGGCATCCAAGCATCCCAAGAAGGTCTCTGTCCCCTGCTGTTACCCTGTGAGTCCCTCTCCCTCTGGCAGGGAGACTCACTGAAATCCATTTACTGACGCCCTACGGGCTGTGGCTTGTTGCCTTTTTAGACTGTTTTCCTCATTTTTAAAGTAGCATCTTGAAAGGCAGACAGTGAGAAGCACAACTTGAAAATGAAATGCAGATCATGGGTCTTGACAGTCACATGTGAACAAAGGTTCTCCAGCCAGAGTACCTGACTCAAGTGATGATAGGTCAGCACTCTGGAGATAAGGACTGTTTTTCATCAGCTTTGCAGTAAGATCCAGCATTTATCAGTCCTGCTCCTGCTCAAATGGCGGCTCATTGATGATCTGATTAACCAGCTCTGTAAGCATCAATCAGACCCCAGGTATTGGCATCCTCATGGAATAGAATGTTTAAAGTGAACTTCTGCCTCCAAAGCCATGCCATGTCAGGAGGAACGTGTGTCCATCTGTGCTGTACTCGGAGGTGCCATTCCACCTCTGAGGGGTCAGCTAAACACCTTCCTCCATCACACCAGTGTGCCACAGGTGTGAGCTGTCACTCCATCACACCAGTGTGTCACAGGTGTGAGCTGTCACTCCATCACACCAGTGTGTCACAGGTGGGTGTGAACTGTCACTCCATCACACCAGTGTGTCACAGGTGTGAGCTGTCACTCCATCACACCAGTGTGTCACAGGTGGGTGTGAACTGTCACTCCATCACACCAGTGTGTCACAGGTGGGTGTGAACTGTCACTCCATCACACCAGTGTGTCACAGGTGGGTGTGAGCTGTCACTCCATCACACCAGTGTGTCACAGGTGGGTGTGAGCTATCACTCCATCACACCAGTGTGTCACAGGTGTGAGTGTTACTACTGAAGAGCTGCGCTGTACTTTTACAGTCTGCATCATAGCTCAAGGTGCACGTTGGCTGAAGCAGAGAGGAATCTATCTGCCCATCCTGAGGGTGTGGGTGCCTTGCACCATACTATGCAGGAACAGGCGCCAACACTTGGCCCGATAACACCGGGCAGGGCTTGAGGAACCTTAGTTAAAACTGTTACCCGTTGTCTTCTGCAGCCCGAAGTATTAAATGGAAAAGTCTAGAAACAAACAGCTCATAAGCCTGCACTTGCATTGTGAGCAGCAAGATGAGCTTTGCACTCTCCTGCTCTGCCCACCACTCTCTGTGACCCTCTGTAATAGCGGGAGACTGTTAACTCACTTTGCTGCTGTACCTCAGGCTGCCAAAGGTTTGGCCACAGTGTGGGGTGGTGCCTGGGTCGGACAGAAAAAGCATCCAATGGTGGGTGTACATGTAGACAACCTCAGTCTGTCTGTGGGTCCAGAAGCCCGCTGGGGTCCTTGGATGTCCTCTGAGGGTGAGGAGGGCATCACTATCCCACTTCTTCCTCAGATCACCCATGAAGTGGCACAGCATGTCTGTCTGGGGGGGCGTGGGGACTGCAGATATGGGAACACTTTGCTGGTTCTAATGCTTGTCGTTGATGTGGCCACCACTTCTGACAGAGGAGTGCTGGGATGAGGAGGCAGTCCTTGTGCCCGGAGCAGTGCTCACGGTGAGTGTGCTTTGATGAGTGTTCACGGTGAGTGTGCTTTGATGAGTGTTCACGGTGAGTGTGCTTTGATGAGTGTTCACGGTGAGTGTGCTTTGATGAGTGTTCACGGTGAGTGTGCTTTGATGAGTGTTCACGGTGAGTGTGCTTTGATGAGACGTGTGTTCACGGTGAGTGTGCTTTGATGAGACGTGTGTTCACGGTGAGTGTGCTTGGATGAGTGTTCACGGTGAGTGTGCTTTGATGAGTGTTCACGGTGAGTGTGTTTTGATGAGTGTTCATGGTGAGTGTGTTTTGATGAGATGCGTGTTCATGATGAGTGTGCTTTGATGGTTAGAGCACACAATGAACAGTCATGCCAGGTTGGAGATTCTCATGATCCCAGCTCCCAGAGTAAATGCTATTTCCATTTTGCTGTGTCTCTGTTTGCAAAGAGCCATTCCTCCAGAATGTCATGGAGCACTCGCTCATGTCTCCTGTGGCTTTCTTAGCCCTCACACCCTGTTCACTTTAGGTGGCAGTGACTGTTCCTGGGAGATGTAGTTCCACTTTTGACCATCAGAGAACTGAGGCCTGTGCTCTCCAGCTGGAAGGCAGGAGCGTATCTGGGCAGATGATTGAGACTTCTCAAAGCATCTTCCTGTTCTTCCTTTGGGATGTCCTTGCTCAGCTGGACCAAGAGCTGAAGGCTCCTCCTCGTTTCATAGCCCTGCCAGAGTGATTCCCAGTGGCTGTCATATCTGAAGTTGGCTTCTGGCTACTTTCTTGGCCATGTTTTACCTGCGAGTCTTTGGTGTTTTTTGTCATATTTTTATGGGAAGATGCCTTTTTTTTTTTTTTTTTTGGTGACACCTCTCTCTCTGCAGTTCCCAGTGACCTGACTGCAGAAGAGCGTCAAGAACTTGAGAGCATCCGGCGGAGGAAGCAGGAGCTGCTGGCAGACATTCAGGTTGGAGGGTGCTGGGGGGCTGGCCGGTGTGGAAACACTTGGTTTGTGGCTATATGTGTCAAAAGTTGGCCTTGAGGGCTGTGTGCTTGCCACAGCTCTGACAAAAGTATAGGTATTAGTGGTCACCTTTGATTTACCAGAAGGCAGAGTCTCAGAAGGCTTGCCCTATTCGTCAGAGCTAGAGGGACTCTGTGCTAAGGTTTCCCACGTACACATCACAGAGCGCAGGCCTCAGGTTTGCTGACAACTTCTGCTCACCAGCTCAGGGTCTGAGCTATCTTCTGTTCTTTCCTGGTCACAGGATGAGAACAACAGCACCTTTCTAGCTTCCTGTGAGGGCACAATGCACTGGTGTCTCTGGGGACAATCCCTGGAGATGGCTGGTGATTATAGACAGGTCACTTCCGCCCATGGCCCCACCCCCCAATGGGTGTGGTCAATGTTACAGAAGGACTATCTCACTACAAGGGTTATTGTTTTTCCAAGTTCCTTTTCATAACTCAAGGCTGTGTTGGAAGGAAGGTCCCAGAGCCAGGTGGGGGGTGATTTTCTCTCTGAGGAGCTGGACGCTGCTCTTCTGAAACCCTTTGTAACATTTCCAGGGTCAGAAAAGCAGGTCCTGGAACCTCACTGGCAGCAAGAGAATAGTGATTTGGGACTGTTGGGATGGTTTTTCCTGATTCTCTGGTAACTGCTAGGAACATGGAGAGACTTCCCCCCTACCCTCTGCCAGTGAGTTTGGGGTGAATGGTCAGCAGACTGAGTGGACATTCCAGTCCAGCTGCAGCAGCATGAGGCAGCAATGTAGGTATAGAGTAGCCTTGGCTGGGCCAGCCAACCATGTGTGTGGGTGCCTGTGAGCTGTGCGCCCCACCGTACCCGTGTCTGGGAGCTGCAGACTGTTCTGAAAGATGGTGCCAAAGTGGCTGCTCTTCAGAGAGTGTACCCTTCCAGCAAAGTGCATGTGCCTGAAAATCCTCTTCCCTAGACCAGGGACCTGCCAAGTAGCTTACCTTCCCACCTTTGCAGTCCTGACATGCTTACTGCCTGGTGGGAGCCCAGTAGATATTTGTTGAGTAGATACATCCTCCTGGCTGACCTCTTAGCGTCCTGCTGTGCCCTTGCTGCTACGGCTGCTCTGATGCTAAGGTGTTGGGATGGAGGCAGTCCCGTATCCTGGCCTGCAGCCCTTACCCTGGAAACTCCTGTTTACAGAGGCTGAAGGACGAGATAGCAGAAGTCGCTAATGAAATTGAAAGCCTGGGATCCACAGAGGAAAGGTGAGTCTGCCTTGCTGCTGCGTCTAGCTGCCAGCATCCCCATCCGTCCCCCATGTCCTGGCACAGTCAAGGAGAAAGTAGGTTTTCTGCCTAGCAGGCACACAGAAGCCTCCACGACCTTCCTCTGAGTCCTCACTGCAAGGATCTGAGTATAGGAAACATTTCTTTGGAGACACAATCTCCCTATTTAGCCCAGGCTGTCCTGAAACTTGCTCTGTAGACCAGGCTGATATCCACCTGCCTCTGCCTCCCAAGTGCTAGGTCAGAGGTGTGCGTCCCCACACCTGGTCACAGGACACCTTTTACATGCACAAAACTGAGCTAGAAAATTCAAAGGCACCCAAAAACCTTAAGTAAGTCGACTGGTCTCGGCCTGTGGGTTGTGACCCCTTTGGAGAAAAGTCCTTTCACAGGGGATCACATATCAGATATCCTACATATCGGATACTTACATTACAATTCATAACAGTAGCAAAAATACAGTTATGAAGTAGCAACAAAATAATTTTATGGGTGGGGACACTACACCATGAGTCACAGGATTAGGAAGGTTGAGGAACACTGCTCTGAGTGCCCATAAATTATTTCCCCTTCTATTGTCCACACTATACGTTCTTAAATTTTCTACTTTGCTTTTGTTTAACGGAAAAGCTTGGAGAGTGCTGCTAATATGATCTCTGCAGGCTGGTGTGCCTGTCTGTGTCTGGTGTCATGTCCAGTTCACTTGCTCCTGTGCGTAAGGGAAAATGTGGGAATGGTCACAGTGTAAATCGATCAGTGTATAAAACGACAAGATGCCAGTGCCTTTGAATGGAATTCCCAGGCCACTTCCAACTGCCTCGCTCGATAAATGACCCTTTCCCTCTGTGTCTCTGTTTTTCTAAGTCTAAGCCTCCCTGTCTGGCTTCATCAGGCCCTTTGATTTGTTATTTTAAATGTGTGGGGCAGTACCCTTAGGGATGAAGGGGCTACATCCTCCACAGACAGCAGCCAGCCAGACACTGCCAGCCTCTGTGTCGTCTTTAGGGTGACAGCTTGCTTTCTTTCTGTTAAAGCTGTATGCATGTGAGTGTTTTGTCTGCAGGTATGTCTGTGCACTGCATGTGTGCCTGGAGCCCATGAAGTCAAAAGACAGCTTCAGAGCCCTGGGAGTAAAGCTATGGATGGTTGTGAGCCACCATGTGGGAACTGGGAAGTGATCCCTGGTCCCTGCAAGAGGAACATGTGCTCTTAACTGCCGAGCCCTCTCTGCAGCCCCTTACTCTCTGTTTAAAATCAAACAAAACAACAGCAAAAACAAAAACCTAGAAATGGGTAGATTAAGAGTCCATCTAGAGAGCCAGGTGGTGGTGGCAGCTTCGGCACACGTTTAATCCCAGAACTCTGGAGGCAGAGGCAGGTGGATCTCAGTGAGTGCAAGACCATCCTGGTCTACAGAGTGAGTTCCACGACAGCCAGGGCTACCCAAGAGTTCTTCTAGATTTAAAGTTTCTGCTCTTAGGAAAGATAACGGGCCAGGACTGGTGTCCCACACCTGTAACCCCAGAATTTAGAAGGCAGAGGCAGGTGGATCTCTATCGCGGTTAAATAAGGATCGGGATAAACAAATAGGCCGAATAGATGTTTATTCAGGGAGAAATAACTTACAACCTAGACAGATGAACACCAGGAAATTCAACCCGATCCTCTCCTGTCCGAGTCACGCCAGCAAGAGAGCTTCTCCCGGCTCTCCCTCCGACTTCCTTCCACAGGTCACTTCCGCCCATGGCTCCACCCCCAATGGGCGTGGTCAGTGCCACAGAAGGACTATCTTACTACAGATCTCATTGAGTTTGAGGTCATCCTGGTCTACATAGTGATTTCCAGGACAGCCAGAGCTACATAGGAGGACCCGCATCTCAAAACCCCAAAACCAAACCAAACCAACCAAGAGGCTAGGGTTGTGGTTCAGTGGCAGAATACTTGCCGGGCTGTGTGAGGCCCTAGATTCAGCGTCACCATTGGCAGATCTCCCACCACAGCAAGCAGGTAACTGCTAAACAAGTGGGCAAGTCACCACGTAAGAGAGAGAAACTGCAGCATGTGTCTCTGAGAAAGGCCTTGTCAGAAGGACACTCACGCGGTGCAGTGACATGCAGACAGCTCTAGAGATGGATGCAAATCCTGAGCTGTTCACCATGTAAGAGTGAGCAAACAGGAGATGTCTGCGTGGAAGATGCTTGTTCTCATTAGCTAAGTATCACGAGGGTGGGCAATGGAAACTGCCATGAAGCTCAGCCTCACGTACCCTGGCTAGAATCAGGAGATATTAAATGCATGTCCAGCTCTGATACCCAGCAATACAGGTGTTTACTCAAGAGAATGAAAGTATGTCCACAAATCCTTTACCAAGGATACGTACAGCATTATGATTAAAATCGACCAAGCTAGAAATTACCCAACTGTCCACCTATCGGTGAATGCACAAGTCGGCTGTGGCAATGGACCAATATACGGTAGGGTGCATACTGAATCAGCGTGGTAGCATGTGCAAGCCCCACAAACACAGAACAGAGAAGCCATCCATACGTGTGCACATGGTACCACGTGCACATAGTACATACTTCTGTCAAAGGTGGGACAGAAAACCAGGAGACATCATCAGGAATGGCAGCGGATGCTGGCAGGTGTCAGGGGAGACCTGACCAGAATCTCTCGGGAAGACGGGAGCAGGCCTTATCTGGGGCAGTTGCCAGGGCACGCACACCTGTCACAACTGTGAATGCGGCACTTAGGTTCTGTCCTCCCGCGAGGGCCCAGGGGGTTGATTTAGGCTATCAGCACAGCTGCAAGTCCGAGTCATGTCACTCTCCAGGGATATTCGTCTATTGCAGTAAACTGGTAAAAGATGGAAAAGCACGAAGAAAACAGATTTCCCATCATCAGCAACCCAGAGAGAACAATCTATGTCATAGTATGCATCCTTTCCGTGCCTTTTTGATGTCAGTGCGCATGCGTGGGCTTTGGGGGTTATCACAGACTCCATCCGAATCGGCAGTCAGGCACTGAGGACACTCAGCTGGTGAACTTAAGAAACCAGCTCTCTGCTCACTGGGGCTAAGTTCTTTCCATGCAGTCCTGAGCTGCCCGTCCTGAGCTAGACAGTCATGACTGGTTTGGAGATCTTCCGTCTGAGTGGACAATGGGGTACCTTGGTTTTGAGGAAACAAGCAACACTGCCATGTGGTGAAGCTTAAAACATGAAAGATGCCCTCAAGAGTACACATAGGGCTGACAAGATGGCTCAGCACCTAACGATGCTCGCCTCACAAGCCTCGTGACCCGAGTTCCATCCCGGAAGCCGTGGGAAGGGGGAAGGAGAGCACTGACCCCACAGGGCTGTCTTTTGACCTCCACACCCACGCGTGCGCATCATGTGGGTGCACGCAAACAATAAATATAAAATTTAAAAGGATAACATAAAGAAAAAGGACTGGTCTTCATCTGTGAGCCCAGAGCCACACTTGAGTGATGGATGGTTTAACTAGAGTGTAAGCTGCCTTTCCAGGACTGCAGACCCTGAAAGGGGAGCTGCCCTGCAGATTCCCAGCATCCGTGTAGCCAGGGGTTGTTATTCCTTCTGGCTTCTCCATCGCTGGGTTGTCATGCGTGTAATCAAAGTGATCAGCACTCTGTAGCAGATGCTATGTCAGAAGTAGAGACAACGTAAAATACTACAGATGGAAAGCTTTCACAGTTGACCTATTGTTAAAGCTGGTGTCCGAGGGAGACTGCTGAAGTTGGGACAGCTGACCTGTATGCATTGGTGGCATTAGCCAGCCACCTATGGTGACTGTCCCAATAGTCGTGAACAGCAATGCTAGACAGGTAGGGACAGGAGCTGAGTCACAGAGAGCTGGAAACTTTAGCCAGCTGCATCCTGTGAGTGTGCCAGGCAGCCATAAGTTGAAACGGCGAATGGCTAGCGGTAGGAGCTGACTCATGGTGAACCAGTGAAGTCCCTTGTGGCACCCAGGGTGGTCAGAAGTAGCAGTTGTGGCTGGTAGATCCGGGAGTGTACTGCTGAAATCTGGGCTTGCCAGAGGCTCACACCTGTACCCCCCCGCATTCGGGAGGCAGAGGCAAGAGGTGTGTGTGAGTTTCAGCCCCGCCTGAGCTACAGAGTGAACTCCAGGAAAAAGCGAAGAGAGGGACTTTCTGCCTTTGGGGACTTGGCCAGTGCTGATGCACCACTTAAGGCAATAAGGAGCTTATTTCAGAGTGACACATTTGCTCAGAGACTGTAGATTACCCTGGTTCCCAAGGGCACACCAGACAGGAGGCTTTTAAATTGTCACCTAGACTCTACCCCTAAAACAGAGTCCCTCAGTGGCCCAGAACCTGTAACTCAGTCAGTCTGTGGGACTGAATAAAATGGGCAGGAGCCCCGAACCCTTCACAGACCACTGGGTGAGTTTGCTGTGGCAGGGCCCAGGGCATGTGTGTGAGTGAGCGGTGACATCCTGCATGCCTGACCCACTCCCTCAGCTCTTTGGGGGCCACACCCTGAGAAGCGTGGTCTGTGAACCTGCGTTTGTTTAGTCTGAGGCACAGTCTAAAAAAACCGCTGCTTGTTTGCACAGCATCTTAAAAAGCTAAATTTAAAAGTACACGACCCGTCTAGATACAGCCTTGACTCTTCTGCCCAAAAGAAAGGGAACACGTCCAACACAAGGGCGGGCAGGCGCTGACAGCTGCCCTGTGGGTAACGACCCCACTCTCTGTCATCTGACGAGCAGATGGAGGTAGACGTGTAGAGGAACATTGCTCAGCAATAGGCAGGAGTGTTGTGACGAACCTTGAAGACAGCATGCTGAGCAAAAGAATCCGGGAACAGAAATGCAGACACCCCATGACTCGGTGTGCATGCACACTCCAGAACCAGGCAGATCTATGCAGAAAAAGTAGACTGAGAGCCCCGGGCTTGAAGTAGGAATGTGGGGCGCTGGAAACAGCTGTGGCGGATTTTGTCGGACTGATGAAAATGTTCTAAAACTGGTTATGGTGATTGTTTCACACCTTAGCTTACTAAAAGCCATCCAGGCATACACCTACAATGGGCAGATTCTACAATATGTAGACAACAAAGTTTAAGGAGATAAAAATTCTAAGAGAAGCCATGAATCTAGAGGGAAAGAGGCAAACGAGCCTGAGCCTGGGCCAGGGTGGGAGCTGACCACGCTTAGCTGGACCAACCTTCCAGAACTCTGTCAGCGTCTGCGTGTGAGGACTGCTCCAGCCCCCAGAATGCCCTGCTGCCAGAGCACTAATGGCTGTACTTCTCTTTCAGGAAAAACATGCAGAGGAACAAACAGGTAGCCATGGGCAGGAAGAAATTTAACATGGACCCTAAGAAGGTAAGCGAAAAAGAAAGGGACAAAAGCCTCGCCCGAAGCTTAAGCTTTCTTAGCGGTAGGATGGAAACCGGAGGAGTTGTTCTAAGCGGCTGTTCTGGAGGCATTGTTGGGTGGCTACCCCTACTGCCTTGCATCTGGGGCTCTGGTTCCTGACCTGCGATGCCTCCATCCCTGTGTCCACTGGTGGACGTTTACTGGACACCCGCTTCAGGTTCCACACCCATGGCGGCCTTCGCCCTCCCTCGCCACCGCCCCTTTCTGGTCTTTCCGCAGGGGATCCAGTTCTTAATAGAGAATGACCTGCTGAAGGACACTCGTGAGGACATTGCCCAGTTCTTATACAAAGGGGAAGGGCTCAACAAGACAGCCATCGGTGACTACCTGGGGGAGAGGTGAGGCCTTCAGAGACGGTGCTCAGAACCGTGGGAAGAAGCAAGCCCGGGTGCCCACGCTCATGGGTTGACTGTGTTGCTAGCGCAGCAGTGGCCATGTGGTGTTGGGTGGAGGTGTCCTGAGGACACTAACTTACTCGCTTGTTGAGTGAGTAAATGGAGCCGGCCCAGCGTCCTCCTGACTGGATGGCCAGGCCTGAGAGGCCTCTTGGCCTGTGACTCGGGATGCCACCTGCCTGGGATCAGGGTGGGTCCTGGCCTCAGTGTCCCGGCCCTTACTTGTGCTGTATCCCCGTCTGTCATGTGTTTCCTCGCAGAGATGAGTTCAGCATCCAGGTCCTGCATGCATTTGTAGAGCTGCATGAGTTCACCGACCTGAACCTCGTCCAGGCCTTGAGGTGGGTGTTGTCAGCAGGCACCGTGGATGGAGTGTCCATTCTGTATGCTGCCTGACTACAGTCCTGTCATTGGGGTTGTTGTGACTACCTTGAAGTATTCCAAGGCAGGCCGTATGCGTACATGCCCATAAGAGGGAAACCATTTGCTAGGACCGTGTCTTGGTCTTGAGGTAGAAGGAGTGTTTGAAATTGTTTCTACTTTTCAGAATAGAAAACCTTTAATTTCTTACCCTAAACTAGGTGGCTGTGTATTTCATTTCATTTTGAAATGAAAAAAAAAATCAACTTTGTTGTTGTTATTGTTTTTCAAGGCCCTGGCTGCACCCCTGGCTGGCTTTGAACTCACAGAGATCCACCTGCCTTTGCCTCCAGAGTGCTGGGATTAAAGGCGTGCATCACCACCGCCTAGCAACTTTAATTTTTTTTAACCAAGATTATTCTGTGCCTCTTTAAAATTTTCCCTGCTGTAGGTATAAATCCTGAGCTTATTTTTGGGCTATGATTTTAATACATGCAGTAACTACAGAAATAAACCTGTGGCCCTGTGCCCACGTGATTCATCACGTGACTGAATCCCCTCCTGTCCTTTGCCCTCTGCTGGTAAAGCCACTGGCAGCAGCAGGACAGGTCATAGCAAAGCTCCTGTCTCCACCGTTAGGCAGTTCCTATGGAGCTTCCGGCTGCCTGGAGAGGCCCAGAAGATTGACCGGATGATGGAGGCCTTTGCCCAGCGGTATTGTCAGTGCAATAACGGGGTGTTCCAGTCCACAGGTGAGTGAGGAGCCCTCTGTGTGTGTGTGTGGGGGGAGCTTTTTCTACAAGGTTCTCTTCTCAGCAGTGGAGGGTTTCTAAGACATAGCCTGAGTCCATGCAAAGATCACTTCCTTCCTAAAAACAATCCCAGTTCCCTGTCCCTCTAGTCCTCCTACCTCCTCCCCACCCCACCTCACTCCTCAGAGGGTGAGTCCTCCTATGGGGAGTCAACAATGTCACTTGAGGCCGGACCAAAGCCCTCCCTACTGTATCTAGGCTGAGCAAGGCATGTCTCCGTAGGGTATGGGTTCCAAAAAGCCAGTTCATGTACTAGGGATAAATACTGGTTCCGCTGCTAGTGGCTTCACAAGCTGCCCAAGCCACCCAGCTGTCACCCACATTCAGGAGGCCTAGTTCATTCTTATGCAGGCTCCCCAGCTGCCAGTCTGGAGTCAGTGAGCTCCCACTTGCTCAAGTCAGCTGTTTCTGTGGGTTTCCCCATCGTGGCCCTGACCCCTTTGCAAGGGCTGTTAGTTTCTTAATGGGATGTATAACAGTAAAAGATTGGAAGCATCCAGAAGCCCAGCCTGAGATGTAGTAAAGTCCTGTGTGTGGCGTAGTGGTAGACAGAGTACTTGCCTCGTGAGCATGGGCCCTGGATTCAGAATGACCAAACATAACCGTCACAGAAGTCTTTAGAAGCTGCAGCCTTTGTGTGTCATCTTAGCTACTCAGGAGGCAGAAGCAGAATCAAGTTAGCTAGGCTACTTGAGCACAACCTTGTCTTAAAAAGAAAAAAAACGAAAGGAAAATCATGTTTTTATAAAGATATTCACATGGGAAAATAAGATTGACTAAAAAGCATATATGTGTATATATATATATATGTGTGTGTGTGTATGTATATGTGCATATATGTGTATATGCATGGATATATGTATGTATGTATATGTGTGAATGCATGTGTATATGTATATGTGTGTTTATGTGTGTGTATGTATGTATATGTGTATATAGACGTGGTGTGCTTATATGTGTGTGTATGTATTTGTATGTGTGTGTATATCTATCACCTGTGTATGTATGTATGTATATGTACCTATCCCCTATGTAATATCTATTCCATTTGTATGTGTTGGAGGGATGGTGTGTTATAGTGTCTCTAAAGTGATTTTATTACATAGTCACACTTATATAGAAGAAATAAAGCAGACCATTGTAGGTAGTTTTTATTTTTTTTACATTGTGTTGGTTTGGGGTTTTGTTGTGTGTCCCTAGATGGCCTAGAGCTCCCTTTAGAGACCAGGCTGTACTGGAACTCACAAGAGCTCTGCCTCCTGAGTGCCGGTAGTAATGGCATACTCCACCATGCCCAGACGGCCGTTTTATTGTACTCCTGTTCTTTTCTGTCTGAAAAGAATGTGTGTTTAGTGTACTCGTGTGCCTGGCCTCTTTCGGGGGCGTAAACCTGGGGACATGTGTGCGCTTGGTTCACCCACCCTTCCTGCCCTTGGTTTTGTAACCCTGACCTTGGCTTGGTGTCTCCCGTTCTGGGTGGGCATTTCCTTTCCTCTCACATCGTGTTCTCCTCTTCCCTAGACACTTGCTACGTCCTCTCCTTTGCCATCATAATGCTGAACACCAGCCTGCACAACCCCAATGTCAAGGACAAGCCTACGGTGGAGAGGTTCATCGCCATGAACCGAGGCATCAACGACGGAGGAGACCTGCCCGAGGAGCTGCTCCGGGTGAGCAGGGCCAGAGAGGCCTTGTTTCAGCTAGCAAAGGGTTGTCTTTGTAGCAGAGGAGACAAGGGTAATTCATTTAAACATGTGGATTTCACAAAGGCCAGCTGAGAAACAGGAAGGGGAAGAGGCTTCTAAATCTGAAACTAAAGCCTTGAGTAGATTCCAAGCTGCTATTTTTTTTCTTCCTTAATTACCCGCCAGGCAGGCATCTTATTTTTGTTCCCCTGAGCTGCTGTAGAGCCAAAGAATGGTTGTGTCCCTCTCTAGTCCTTACTACAGGCTCACAGTGGTTGCCTGTGGAAGGGGTAGAGAGCAGGGAGGGAGAGCCCAATACGTGTAGAATGAGACATGCGTGTCTTCTATCCCAGAATCTCTATGAGAGCATAAAAAACGAGCCCTTTAAAATCCCAGAGGATGATGGGAACGACCTCACGCACACTTTCTTCAATCCCGACCGAGAAGGCTGGCTGCTGAAACTCGGTAGGTCACCTCCCCCAGCTTGGGGCTCCTGTATGTACAGAGCTCAGGAAGAAAGGCTACACGCACAGAGGCTTGGGGTGTGGGGGAGGGGCGGGCATCCCACAGAGACTGCCCTGAGGTGTGTTCTTACCAGAGCCCACCTCCGGAGAGGAGGCTGCTGACAGCCACCCACCACACAGCGGTGACCCCTGGACACAGACTCTGCCCTCACAGACATTGCCCCGGGGTATCTGGGCCCTGTGTGTTCACTCCTCAATAGATGGCCATGTTCTTCAGGCACTTTCTAGGAACCTGATCTGTCCCCACTTCCTGCCCCTCACCCTGGGAGGGTGACCAGCCATATCCATCTCTCCATTTCCCATCCCAGATTGATCCCTGGCAACCCTGCCTCACCCAGTACATCACCACTTCCCTCTGCATCCGGCTCCCACAGGCAGTGTGCATGGCAAACCTACAGCCCTTGGCTGCGACACAAACCACTGCGCTCTTCCTCATGCTCCGGCCGCGGCCCCTCCCAGCCCCAGTCAGCCACGTTAATGATTGTGTCATCCCCAAAGCTGCAGGTGCATCTCTCCTCCCTCTGCCACACGTGCACCTGTGTTGTTAAGATTTATGGTCATGCCTTGCCAGGAAGGTGACAGTAACCAGACGGAAGAAAGTTACTGGGTTCTCGTGCACATTCGTGTCCACCTCTGATAGCTTTATTAATTATCAGACACGAGAGAGGTCTCTGAACAATCTGGACATGATACTGTTGAAGGTTTTGTTTTTGTTTTTTTCCCACTAGAGAGCACATTCCAGTTTCCTCCTGCCTTGGCCTTTGATGAGCTGAATCCCATATCAGCAGGGCATATTCATTAGTCTCGCTCCTCGTCAACCTCGGTTACTTGCCCCATAAGCAGCACTCACTCTTGGCCATTAATGACAGACACATGCCCTCTGCTGCAGATGCATCCAGATAGCCCAGGGCCCAAAGTCTGTGTGTACACATGATGATCCATGAAATCCTTTCTGTGCTGCTTCACCAATTAGAGCCGTGCAGTGTCTGCACGTGGAGCGGTCAGGGATCTCTAAGCAGAGGGTCTGAAGAGAAGGCTCCGAACGAAACGTTCAGCCCACAGGTGACTTCTCCACATTCCTCTTGCCCGATCCATGGAGTGAAGAGGAAATGTGCTGGGAATTTCAAAAGTGTGTCCAAGTTTAGATTTACTTCCCCCTCCAAGGAAATTTGTTTCCGTGCGAATGCTAAGTGTTGGCTTTGACAGCTGAGACACTAAAATTAGGACAGAGATTACCTTGGCTCTTGTGCCAGGATGACATGCAAATTCATGAGGCATTGCATATTTTTAAAAAAATCAAAACCTTAAGCTGAGTGCAGTGGTGCACACCTGTGGTCCCAGAACCTTAGAGTCAGAGCAGGAGAGTCCCTGGAGCCATGAGATCAAGCCAGCTTGGTGATAGAGCCTCATCCCAAGAAATAAAAACCTACCGATATGGGACTCATTCGTGGGGCCATCGCTTCATGTGTTCTGGCCTCCGAGACTCCCGATAGGGTGTCTCACTGCGGCACACTGAGACTCAGTCCTGTGTGTCTGACTTTGTGCCAACTGTGGTTGTCTGTTTATGTCCCTGTATGCAGAGAGCCATAAGCATCATGTTCTCATGTACACACATATGTACATGTATATCCATGAGTGTACATGTGTGCATCGTACACGCATTTAGGAAGATACTGACTTTCTTGGAAGTGCATATCCCCCCTCATACTCTAGATCACGAGGGGTTTGGCAAAAGCTGGCCTTACAACAATGGATTTGTGGCACTGTGAGGCCAGGTGTGGGTAAGGCCTCCAGCCTTGCTGCACAGCGTGGTGGTGGCCCGCCCATCAGTGTCTTCAAGTGTCCCTCCCTCTCCAGGCATACATAAATGTCACTGGTGCACTGCACTTTAAGATTGAGGAATCGGGTTTGATTTCTTTGTTTTAATTTTCTTTTCTCCCTCATTTATATGTTTCCATGATTTTGGCTCTCCTTTTCCTTGCCCCAAACTCCAGGAGGTATGTAACCCTGCTCGCTCGCTCACTCTGCCCAGGCCACTGTCTTTGCTGCAGCCTTTTATTTCGTTATTTTTTTTTTTTCTTTTTGGTTTTTCTGTTTTTTAATCGCTGGTAGTAGTGTTAATGCTGCTTCTAACTTACTGCACAGTCCCTAGGGAACTGGCCAGGATCCGGGGATTGGGGCAGTGCTCACATGTCCTCTTGGTAGAGGACAGAGTGGTACACAACAGCCACCAGGCCACAGGCCCCCAGCTGCAGGCAGCCGTGCAGTCCTAGCCCAGGGCGAGCTGAGCAGGGCAGAGAAACACTGGCTTCCTGCGCCTGGGCTCTCTGAGTTCGAATTGACACCGGTGCGTCAACCTGACCAAAAGTAATTTCTGACCCGGGGACCAAAGAAAAGGGGCTGCCTCACAACTCCCCAAAGCCGTGGACTTCTGGCACGTGGTGGACAAAGAAGTTAAGGAGAGATTAGACAAGATGGCACTTGGGGCATCTGCATTTCCATGAAAAAGAGAAATGGTGTCTTCCAAGCCCACAAGTGGAAATTTTCAAACCCGCAAGCCAGCGACCCCACCTGTAGTCCCTGATTCCGTTTCTTGAGTATCAGGGGGTCCGCACAGCCCGGATTTTCCTCTGCTTCAAAGGGTCATCCCCAAAACCCAGACTGGCCTCCCAGTTCTCTGGTTGCCAACATGGGGAAACATTTGGAGGAACCCGAATGCTCCTTGGGTCTGTGCCTAAGCATGCCTAGAGCGGGGCCTCCCTAAGAGAACAATCACAGGCATTCCTTGCAGCGCTGGGCCAGGCATGCATGGCAGTGAGGATGGGATCAGCCGTCTGTCTGTGTAAGGGAAGGGCCTGCTACGCCTGCCCTGTGTGGGAAGGGCCCTGTGAGTTCCACAGGGACTGTCCTAGGCGCACGTCCATCTGTCTGCTTGTCCCATGCCTGCTTTTCTTCCCACGTGGAAGCGTCCCCCGAGGGCCCGCAGCGATGCTTTGTGGTCGAGGGCTGGCTCTGTGGTGCCACAAACTGTCCGGGGGACGTAAGGAAGCTTGTACACCCAGCAGGCTTCCCAGCTTTGCTCTTCCTCCGTGGGCTCCTGCCGTCTGTCGTCCTTTGGTATCTAACTCATTTTCCCTATCATTTCTCCAGTCCCATTGTCACCTGGGGTAGTGTCCTGTGACAGAGAGCATGGGAGGTCAGCATGGCTTGACCATCCTTGTGTACCAAACCTTGTACAGGAAATGGTCTCCCCAAGAGGCTGGAAGACAGAAACTCTCAGACTCAGCAATGGGAAGGGATCTGCTTTAAGACCAACTGCGTTCAGTTTCGAGCACATTCTTTGTCTTCCTTCTCATCTGTTCTAATCCTGCCCAGCCCTCCCTGTTGCCATCATGCATGTCACGTTGCTCTTACGTCTTTTCTCATTCATGCACTTAACCGTGGGGTGCTTCCATGAAGCTTCCAGATCACCATGAAGGGAGTGCCTCACTGTACACCACACAGGATTGCGTGTGGCATACTCCATCTGGAAACCTAGGTCTCGACCATTTACATTGCGCCTGCTTACATCTCCTTCCCCACCCCTCCAGCTCAGGCACCCAGGTCGAGCCGTGAAATAGCCCAGAAAGGTCTAGGTCCTCATCTGTTCTGCTGGACCTCTTCTCTAAGATTCAGGGATGAGCCTGCAGGTAGATGCTGGCATTTGGAAATAGTCTTTGTAAACTTGCCCTTCTCTGCATGGGTGTTAGCAACAGGTCAGAGGAAATGGGCATGGCAGGTGTCCTACTCCCCTGCCCTCCATGGAGACTATAAAGTGATGTGCTCCACAATTGGGCCCTAGCAAAGGGCAACCGCTAAGGGTCAGGGACGAAGTGTGTTTATGCAGTACCGTGTGTGTATCAGCAAGGGAAGGCCCTGGGTAATTCTCAATGCTTGGAGTCAGGACAGTCTTCCCTTGACCAGAGGCAAGTGGGCGGGGGGAGGGGGTCCTGAGCACGGTGCAGGGGGGATGTAGCTTCCTTCCAAGTGGCCACAGTTCAGCACACCCTCCCCCACACCCAAGGCAGAATAATTTCGCAGAGCTACGTAAATGTCACTAGCTAGCGTTGAAGAGGACCCAGGAAGGCCTGAGTAGCTGCTAGCCGCCACCTCCTAGCTGTTGGGGCTGCCTCTTGTGGTTACATAGTTTTAAAGAGTCACAGGGGTCCACAGTGGGAGGAGGCTCCTGAGCCCACCTCTTGGGTAAGTTAGTCCTTTCCTGGTGAAGGAGCCAGGCTTCAGTTCACACCCAGAACTCTGAGGACATGACCCGCGGGACACTAACCAGGGCGGCTGAGGCCAGTGTAGGATGTCACTGCAGCGGGTGCACGAGGGAGGCCACGGCTTGGGTGTAAGGGCTCACAGAACCTCGCTGTCTGCATCTGTCCTCCTGTGGAACCCCCGCCCCCGCCCCCGCCCCCGCCCCAGGGTGCTGGCCCCCTGCCCCCTCCCTTTCTTGCCTGTCTCTATCACACAGGGTATGGCTGGCTCCTCCAGCCTGAGGTACACTTGCATAGCACCGTCACCGCCCTGGGCTTCCCTTCCTAGCCTAGGCTCTCATCCTGCTGTCCGGGACATCTCAGGGCGTCACCAGACATGCTTGCTCTGCTCGTACCGTAGACTTTCACTCTGTGAAAGATGCTTCTGTCTTGGCTGTGTTTCGTCACTGATGTAGACTTTGCCATGATCTAAATGTTCTCCTGACACCCTGCCCAACCCCATACCCTCCTTGGGAAGAGAGCCTTGTGTGTGTGTGTGTGCAGCGCGCGTGCCCTGGTGTCCCTTGTCAAGAGCACCGATGTTTGCTCTCAGGTGGCAGGGTGAAGACGTGGAAACGACGATGGTTCATCCTGACTGACAACTGCCTTTACTACTTTGAGTACACCACGGTGAGTGTCTTGGTGCACCTGTGACAGGGTGGGCCCGTCCTCTGCTTCCAAACCACTCCAACCAAACACAGCTAGAGGAGGGCCTGGGAGCCGGTCAGAGCTGTCCCTCTGCTTGCCGTGGGCCAGGGAAGGAGTAAGGTAAATCTCAGAATAGAACCTTAACAAGGGTGTGGAGGGGCCGGCTAGGAGGCTGCGGCCCAGCTCGCACTGAGGAGGCTCGGTGGACACGTGTTGGGGACCGTTTGCAGTGCGTGAGGAGGAGGCTCGGTGGACACGTGTTGGGGACCGTTTGCAGTGAGTGAGGAGGAGGCTCGGTGGACACGTGTTGGGGACCGTTTGCAGTGAGGCTGGAAAGAAGGAAGCCTTGTGAAGGTAGTGAAAGGGGCAGTGGCCGTGACCTGGAGAATTCCGACTTTTGTAGTGTCGGGACGCTGAAGCGTTCCAGTAGAAGCAGCAGTCTCAGTGGAAAGAGGCACAGTAGCGGGAAGGGGAAAGATGGGATGGGAGGCCGCAGCTTTGGGGAGCTGCCGTTTGCTGTCACCATGGAGGTTCTGCTGCTGTGTCCAGTGGGATAAGACGTCACTGCAGGAGTGTGTCACCCCAGGTGCCTCTTGTAGCCTACAGATAAACAGTATCCAGTAAACTCCTCCGGGCGTCCTGTGGGCAGAGCACCCAGAAAGCCATAGGTTGCCGGTGCTCAGACCGTGCCTCCCCACACTGGTGATGTGGCACCTGTGTCCCTGCCCTCCTCCTGGGCACCTGTAGGCACAGAGGTGGCTTTTCTTGCATGCATATTGGACTTGGGTCTTGAACGAGGTCAGGGTAGCTAACTGGGCCGGAGCTAACTGGGCCGGAGCTAACTGGGCTGGAGCTTCACTGAGTAAAAGTCATTGACTCCACTGAGGAAACAGGCCTGAAGCCTTGTTTGTGGTGAAGATGGAGCAAAATGGTGTTTAAGATCACTGCAAGCTTGAGGCTAGCCTGGGCTACGTAGTGAGTTCCAGGCTAGCTGCATAGAGTTAACAGGTTCAGTTCAGTCATGGTGGGGATGAGCTGTGGGCCCGACAGGACATTGTTTCCAGGTCCTTCTCACCAGGGTCCCATTCGAGCCACCCAAGTTCTGCAACTTAAAGTCTTTTCAAACATTAGAACAATGTGTTAAGTGTATAAAAATGGTAAGAAAGAGTCTCCTTGTTCCACCCTAGGGTGCTTTGGACAAAGACTCATAGCCCCCTGGCTGCTTCTGGGTCCCCCACCCTCCCAAACACTTCCTTCCTTTGACTTTATAGGGGCCTAGGCAGCAAGGAAAGTTTCCCAGCAAGGCCTACAAAACACTGACAGAGTGGCCTAGAGAAGCTGAGTGCCAGTCCAGGAAGGGAGGGCACAGCTGCTGGGTCATCCTGCTCTGTGCCAGTGGCTCTGCTGAGGCCTGGGTGTGCCGTCAGCCCCGATCCGCTCCACCCGCGGGCCTGGAGCAGACAGGGCTGGAAGGAGTGAGCAGGGTGGGGGAGGGGTGCCGCTGTGGGTAGAGGGGGCTGGGGAAGTGTGGCCAGCGGACTTCTCCTTTGATGGGAGGGTGTGTTCACCCGGGAAGCTGCCTTTGGGCTTCTGTAAGTCAACAGATGGAGCCAGCTCTTCCCTGGACTCACTCCACACCAGCAGCCTCCTCCAGTTCTTAGGACACTGTAGAACGTGTAGAATGGCAAACAGCTGGCCCCCAGACATTCCAGGAGAATCATCTAGAGTCACTTCAATAGTGACCAGAATGATGTAGAAGGCAGAACAGGACTTCAGCTCTTGAGAGCCAAAGCTGTTCATCTCTGAATCACTGTAGGGTTGTGGAGACTGAGTAAACTTTAAGAAGTGGGACACACTAACTAATGATGCCCTCACTTCCTGTAGGGAAGGCGACAAATCAGCAGTGAGCTGACAGGTGCCGGGCAGGTCAGCATTTCAGTGCCAGGAAGTTGATGCCAGCAAAATCAGTTCCCCACTGGTGGGGTTGTTCCCGGGATGCAGGAGTGCAGTGGGGCAGGGTTAGCGTGGGTGGGGATGGATGCTCACCTCTTTCACTTAGGTCTGCAACAGACATGCTGAGCTCAGCGGGCCAAGTATACAGACATAAGGGGCCAGTGCTGAATCCTCAGTGGGCAGAATTGACAGCCCCATGCACCGAGCTGTGCAGCCAAAACCAGACTGCCGACATGGGAACCTCCAGCTGGGGGTTGCTGCCAGCCACACTGAAAAGCAGAACCAGTGCTGACCTCTCCTTAAATGTAACCATTACAGAAGATGCTCCAGTGTAAACCGATGCTTACACAGAGCTGGGCCTGGGTGGCACTCAGGTGGGACCCGGGGACACTTAGCTATAGCTGCTACAGCATCCCAATCACGGAAGCAGTGTGGAGATGCAGGGTCCACCCGACCTGTGCCGAGAGCCCGAGTGGACGCCAGAGCTGGCCCTCACTCCTTTTGGTCTACGGCTGCACATCAGAACACAGACCGTGTACTGTGCACGTGTAGCTCGTTGCCTCGGTCCGCTGCCATCAAGGAGAGTAAAGGAGCCGTGGCCTCACAAGGGCCAGCGTTAGGATGACTTGACAACCCACTTCAGCACCCAGACCCTCAGGGTGTCCGGGCACCAGGTGGCCTGGAAATGACAGTGGAGGGGAAGAAAAAGGAAGGGAATTGGAATTGAAGAAGCCAGTGGCCACCCTTCCTGCAGCACCCTTCCCGGGCTCCTCCGCAGAGGGGAAAGCCGTGGGTGTCTGCACCAAGGAACCCTCGAAGCACTGCTAAGGGTGGGCATTGTAGCACATAGGGGCAGGGAGCTCAGGAGCATGCATTATCTCTCCTCCTGTAACTACCGTGTACGTGACCAATGCCCAGGCCTCTGAGAGGGGCCTGGTGAGCAGAGACCGAGCCCACGAGCTACTCAGCCTAGACCACCACTCTCCAGATGACACACCGGCAAGTCCAGGTGTGTAGTTGAGGAGGGAGGAGAGGACTGTGAAGAGCCTGATACTATCTCAGAGAGACGGCCTGTTGCAGCGGGGAGCCGGAGACAGGATGCAGCGAGCCCAGGAGCAGACAGACAGACAGACGTGCTCTTGGAAATAAAACACGGCAGTCATAAAGGCAGTAGAGGGGCTGGAAGGAACCATGGTTTCCAGAAGGAGCACAAGGACACAGAGAAAAGGAGACAGGAGATGGATGGGAGCTAGCCCAGGACATCCCATGTGGCCCTCAGAAGATGGCTTCCTGACGTCAGAGAGAGACTAACAGCCATTTTAGACCGTCCCCAAATGGAAAGTGTGCCTCCAGGCTCACTCTGTATCATGGCTGGAAACAAACCCTTCCAAGTCCGCATTCCTAGAGTCTCAGTACCAGAGCACAAACAGTCCCAGTCACAGAAAAACCTACACAAACCAGCCTGAGAGCTGAAGCGTGCCACGCGCCTGTCAGTCTGGAGGATGCACTCTCCACCCACACCCACACCGTTAGATGCAGCCGAGCTCAGTGACGTGGAACCCTTTCCAACCACGGGAGCCTGGAACAGGTTCCCTGCCCTCCGGACCCTCCCTCACTGCTGGTGGAAGAAGTACCCCGCCAAAATGACGGTGCCCAGTAAAACGGGGGAAAGGTTAATGTGAGAACCGGGCCTGAGGCAGTGACATAGTGGACAGCTGCAAACTTGGGGGTGATAGGTCCCCAGGCTTGAGGCCAGCTGGCCCTGGGAGGGACCTGGCCACCACGTTAAGATTAAGAGGATGCTTAGTATGGATTACGCTCGGGAAGGAGATAACAAGACAAAGCTCATGCAATTGATTTGGGTGCTGCTGGTTAGGAAAGTGAGTAATGGATGAGTGCACGTCCACCCAGGTAGAAGGTGATGAGCAAAGTCAGAGTAGGGCACCTGGCACAGGTCAGCTCCTGCACGGCATAGCCAGCGAGCACACCCAGCATGCTCTAGTTTGGTCACTGAGGGATGAGACAGGAAGAGCTGCGTCTTTCTCAGTGGGTGGTCCTGGGAATTCATAGAAGCAGCTCCGATCGAGTGTCCTCAGGATTGTCGGGGAGAGGGTAACTTTCTACAGGGCCCGGGGGAATGGCGGAAAGGCATGTTTGTTTGCTTGTTTGTTTTTATACAGTCATAGAACTAGATTTGGTTGGTTGGTTAATTGGTGGGTTGGCTTGTTTGTTGTTGACATATTGTGCATGTGTAACTCTGATCAGCAGTAGGCCTTGGCCAAGTCTAACTGGCTAGTGGGGTTGGAAGGATGTCCATGGTGGGGGCCTTGGCTGATGCAATGGGCAGGACCTCAGAGGGCCAGTTGTGGGGAAGGAGGGGGTGAGGGTCTGTGTGGACGTGAACTCAGTACCTCTATGGATCTTGGAGCAGCTGTTCAAGACAGCGCTACCTAAGGGTCACAAATTCAGGTGATGGGCAATGAACAAGAGACAATTTGAAACTCAGCTGGAGCCCTGCATCAGACATGGGCAGGAGTACCTAGACCTAACCCTGAAATGGCTTCCAGGAGTTATCGGCACAGCACCACAGCTAGGAAAAGGAACCCAGATAAACAATGGAGCCGGGAAAAGCCCTTCCTCGGGGAAAGTAGCTGGCATGGTCCCCGCTTGAGGGCCCCATGGGTCATTGCCAGGTACACGTTGATGGCATCCCTGGCCTTGTTATCTGCAGAGGCTTTGGGTTTTTCCCATCATGCCACACACTCCTGACGCTGGTCCTGTTGTAGAACCCAAGGGTGGCCGAAGCCAACTGGGAGCGTCAAACCCGAGAGGGAGGAGTCAGGACAGGCTGAGGGCAGAGAACCAGGTATCCCAGCTGCCAGTGAAGTCTTTCTGCTCCTGTTCCAGGATAAAGAGCCCCGTGGGATCATCCCCTTAGAAAATCTGAGTATCCGAGAGGTGGAAGACTCCAAAAAGCCGGTGCGTATCCCTGCGATGGTGCCCAGGGCCGCAAGTCATCACCTTGCTCTGAAAAAGTGGCGTGTAAAGGCGTTTTAAGACAAACCCGAGAACCTGAAAAACCTAGCCATGCCTTTACCGCCACCTGCTTTGATTATCCTTAGTGTTCAAGTGAACACTTATCTTCCTCTGTCTGTCTGTCTGCCTCAATGTCACCTCCTGACTGAACCATCCCTCCTGACAGGTCAGCTGCTAACGCCCCCATAGCTCGGTGCTGACTTTATAATTATAAGTGATGCTCTGTGTGGTGTGGGGACAGCTCACCCGCAGCTCTGCGCATGCTCCTTCGTGTCAGTCCGCAGTGGAGCCAGCAGGTGTCAGACCAGCATCTCAGCCTGACACAGCTGACACCCTGCCATGCCCTTGTCTGAGCCTCTTTTTTCATAGGAAAAACATTTGTGTGCTTATGTAGGTGCACATGTGTGTGGAATGAGGTCAATCTCAAGGGTCACTCCTCAGGGACTGTCCACCTTGTTTTCTCAGGCTGGGGATGGGCTGTTGGGGAAAGCGTGAGCCAGTGCTGGCAAGCCCAAGAGCCTGAGTTAGTGCCTCGGAACCGGGGTGTGGCAGCGTGTGGCAGCGTTCCCACAGTGAGGGCGGGGTGGAGAAAGGAGAATTTCCAGACGCTCCTGGGCTTGCTAACCTTTGTATGCAGTGGGAGAGCAACACTGAGACCTGTCTCAGACAAGGTAGAGACGAGGATTGACACTCGAGGGTTTCTCGGAGTCCCACACCCACACAGGCGCCTGCGTTCACGCTTACAAGTGCACATGCGCACTCCTACACACACACACACACACACACACACACACACACACACTTACCCACAACCTCTCCCTCCCACACACACGCACACAACCTCTCCTCCCCCTCCCCCCCACATACCCACAACCTCTCCTCCCCCCCCCACACACACTTACCCACAACCTCTCCCCCCCCACATACCCACAACCTCTCCTCCCCTCCCCCCATGCATACGCACAACCTCTCCTCACCCCCCCCACAAATTTATCTATTTATTTACTACTTATTTAATTTTGGTTTTTCAAGACTGCACATAGCCCTACCTGTCCTACAGCTTGCTTTGTAGACCAGGCTGCCTTGAACTCAGAAATCCACCTGCCTCTGCCTCCCAAGTGCAAGGATTTAAGGTGTGACCACCACACTGGCCCACGATTGGCTTTTCAAATGCAGGATCAAACTTAGGTCCTCATGCTTCTGTGGCAAGCACTCTGTCAACTGACATATGTCCCCTGGCCGCGTGTTCTGGGGGTGTTTCTTAAGAGAACCGATAAAGAACCTTTGGGTTATAAGTAACATTTTCCTTGGTCAGCTCTGTCCTAAAGTCAGCCGTTGCTTTCTCATGGTCTTCCAGAACTGCTTCGAGCTTTACATCCCCGACAACAAAGACCAGGTGATTAAGGCCTGTAAGACCGAGGCCGACGGGCGAGTGGTGGAAGGCAACCACACCGTGTACCGCATCTCCGCCCCCACCCCCGAGGAGAAGGAGGAATGGATCAAGTGCATCAAGTAGGTGGCTCGCAGGCATGGCGGATGTGGTCACAAGGCCCAAAGTGTCCAGGGAGGCTGCCCAGCAGCCCGTGGGACCCCTGCCTGTTAGAGTGTTAGGAAGGCCGTGTCTCCAGCCTAGGCACCAAGAGAATTCAGACCCAGAGGGGGGACAAGGGCCACCTACCTCCATGGTGTGTTTGTGTGTGTGTGAGTGTGTGTGCGTGTGTGTGTGAGTGTGTGCGTGCGTATGTGTGTGTGTGAGTATGTATGAGTGTGTGTGTGAGTGTGTATGAGTGTGTGTGTGAGTGTGTGTGTGTGTCCTCAGTGGACAGCACTTGACTTTATTATACTTTTTCGTCCAGGGAGACCGTCCTCCCAGTTAGAGACATGGGAAACAGGGCCCACAGTAGCTTCTGAGTGTTGTGATGCAAGCTCATGAAGCGGAGCCCAGCCCTTCTTCACCCCGCGCCTTGAGTGGAGGGAGCTTCTCCAAGTCCCTCCACTATTACAGCCCCACAGTGTGAGAGTTACTGTAGGCACAGGACTTCTAGCGTGGCGTGTGACTGGGGACAGGCTGTGCAAAGCCCTCTGGACAGTGTGCTGGTGAGGGGAATAAGTACGTGACCGAAGATGGCCCTTGGTCAGCGCTGCTCCCTGGAACTCACATGGCGTCTTTCTCCTCACCCAGGAAGATAGCCATTGAGAGCCTGCTTCCCTACGCTCTCGACAAGCTTTTCCTCCAGTCTCTTCCTTACTCACAGTCCTGGGGACTCTGGCCATTAGGGTTCTGTGGGTGCTTCCCTCTTATGTGGGCCCTGATGACCTGGGGAGTGTGCTATCAGGCCACAGGCTGCCTCTGTCCTCAGACACAGCATGCCTTCTCCCCAGGTACAGCCCTTCCTTGGGACCCGATTGCTGCCTGGCCTAAGTTAGTGTGGGGGACTTTACTCCAGCCCGAGCAGTGTTTGGTAAACAAGTGACAGGAGACTGTGGCAGTGTGCTGGCGCTAAGGGGTACTTCACTCTGGAAAGGTGGCACTCAAAATTCCCTGAGAAAGGAAGCCGACGGCTGGGGCTTGGATGCAGGTCACCTGTACAGTCCTGGATGTCTTTTGGGGAGCGTTACCTGTGTCTTCTCTGTGACTGATGTACAGGGCTGGGGCTGAGGACATGCTGCCTTACGCAGGCATTGTACTCAAGTAGCAGCCATTGTGTCAACTATGGCCCACAGATAGGGGCCAGGTGACGTGGTCTGTGCACCCCATCCCCATGGGGAAGGCCAGCAGATGGTCAGCACCATTCCACAGATGAGGAACTAAGCCACGCCACAGCTCAGAACCTGTATGAAGGGTTGGATGAGAGAGCACGGGGCGGGGGTGGGTATGCTTCACGGGGTTGTAAAAGGTCACGACACTGCCTTCCCTAGGGTTCCCAGCAGCCTAAACACACTCCTGGTGCATTGCATGTGTGCATCTCAATACTGGGTTCAACAGAGTCCAGGCTGTAAGCAGACACTCAGTAGTCCAGAGATGCCCACCGTCCGCCATGTGCCTAACAGATGCGGAAAGGTGTGATTTCCAGCGCCGAGCACTGTCGGTTCCAGGGACGAAGAGGGAGTTAAACATAGCCCATAACTGAGGCGCATCTGATGCCAGCCCAGTTCTCGGCATCGTTTCCCAGCATACTTTGATCTGGGAGTCACGGGCACTGCCTTACAAGGGCGAGCAGCCTGCCAGAAGGGTTAGTCACCCCCAAAAGCCAAAGCCGAATCACCTACACCCTGAAAATGATAGGCCCCCTGGTTATCCATAGCCCTTTGGGTGCTGAGTCCTTGTGATGGTGAGGCCTAGCTAGCTCACCAGTGCTGTGGCAGGGAGATCCCTGGGATGTGTGTGCCATGGGCACAGGGCACTGGTGGCCGCTAGGAGTCAGCATCACACAGACTCTGCTCCTAGCACCTTCCCTCACTGCGCTGGACAGGCAGCATGGCTGGTCCCCTTTGCCCTGCCACCCCCAGCAGCTCTCATGGACGCGCAGCTGATGCGCAGAGACCCCCCACCCCCACCGAAAGTCCCCTGCGGTCCATGCCAGCCTCTTGGGTGCCGTGAGTAGAGTAACTTACAGCACGCCACTTATTACAACACAGCACTCGGGGCTACAGAGGACACTCACTTGGTTGAGAAAACCATCCCCAGGCTTGGAGCTCAGCTAAGGAATGTATAAGGAGTCTACTCTCAAACAGTAACTGATGTTGGTTTAAAATATGCAGAAACCTCCAGGGTAACTGTGTTACATGTCTCTGTAGGGTGTCACCTTAAGCTACCACCTGGGTCTGCCCTCATGCCTCTCCCTCCCTTTCTGTCCCCCCCCAGAGCGGCCATCAGCAGAGACCCTTTCTACGAGATGCTTGCAGCACGGAAGAAGAAGGTGTCCTCCACAAAGCGGCACTGAGGGCGCACCCGGGCACGGCAGCCCTTGAAGCTGGGGCCCTTTCTCCCGCCTCCCCTTGAGGGGCGCCCGCCGAGGAGCCAAGCAGAGGAGAGCAGACGGCTCTTCTGCCAGTTCCCGCCCGCTCCTAGAGACTAGCTTCAGCTTTTGCAATTTCTGAGTGGGAGAAGGGTGGACGTGAGGGCCGGGGCTGGGGGCTGCTCTGGAGCCGCTGCTGGTGGCAGAGCGGTGCTGCTTTGAGATGCCTCAGCTCGGCAGGGCCGGGCCCACGGCTCGCAGAGAGCTCTCTTTACCTCACAGTACTCCTGGCCCAGGGCCTTCAGCTCTGCCCCACAGATGCCTGTGAGGATGTACTCTTATGTACTAAGGAGAAGGGAGGGAAGGAAAGAAGCCACGCACTATAAAGATTTATTTTTGTTTTTGTAAAGCAAAAGTAAACGTAGCACTGTACCCTACCCTGCTGTGCCCTGCTCGGGAAGCTTCCCCTGGGAAGGGGCTCTGGGGCTGCGGGCATCCCAGGAGCTGTGCCTCCTGACCTGTGTGGGGTGAGGGGCAAAAGCAGGGCTGCTGGCAGAGCCCAGCACACACAGGGGGGCCTCCAGGGCCCAGCAGGGCAGCAAGCAGGGGCCGTGTGGGCAGGTCCCGCCCAGTGCCTGTGGGATGGGGTGAGGTTGGCCAGCTCCTCGCCTGACCCTCAGGACCCAGGCCTACTGCGCTTTAAAGTGGGAAGTCTGCATTTTCCCAATAACCAAAACTGTGAGGAGGTCACCCCATGGTGCAGGGTGGCTGACTGTTTCATAGCTGGATTGTCTTTCTCCTCCCCAAGACCGCCACTCCTCGTTCTAGAGGAAGGAGTAGGTTTTACCTGATCCCCTTGGGACTTCAGCCTTTTCTGCCTCAAAAGTATCCCCAACTGGACTCTCCTGGTGCACTCTGTGGTAGCCTCCAGGGGCAGGGGCCTCGCTCAGCAGGGTGCAGTGCGGTCAAGCCAGGGTGAGGCGGCCTCTATGTCCCCTTGCCCTCTGGCACGGCACGCCACGGCACAGGTGAGTTGGCCCTGGTCTCCTAACTCGGCGTGAAGGGAGCCATGAAGCGCAGCATCCCCTGCCGTTCTCTCAGGGACTCTCAAGGGCAGCTCCTGCTCCTTGGCCAGGGCCGCAGAGCAGGTGGCAGGTGCTGTCTTGGCACACTCCTCCATGCGGCCAAGGCCTGGGTGGCAGAGTGCTGCCTCCAGGCAGGTGGAGGAGCCATGGGCTCCCGCTGGGCTGCGTGAGCCCGCTGGGCTGGGCTGGGCTGGGCAGGGCTGCATGGGCTGGGCCCCTCCGATCTCAGAAGGAGCTCAGCACCTCTGGAAATAGCTTTGCAGAGAAGGGTGAGTGCGGGGGCAGCACTCTGGCCCCGTCCTGTGGATCCGGCCTCAAGTGGCTTCAGGTGCTTGATGCTGGAGTGTGCGGAGGTGACAGTGACAAACAGGGTCCAGGCTGGAACCCTGAGCCTCCTGGTAGAGAGCCAGGCAGTGCTGGCCCAGGTCGTCGGCGTCCCCCAACACCAGGTCTCACAGGTGTGTCCTGGGCAGAGCAGCGTCTGGCTCAGAATCGGTCTATTTATCAGAGGTGTAAATAATCCACACACAGTTTTCTCCTTTTAGATTATTTTGTATTTGTTTAAAAAAAAAGATTTGTCAAAATACAAAGAAATGACTGAAAGTTGACAGGGTTTTTTAAAAATACCATTGTTATTATTATTCCAATTGTTTTTTTGTTTGTTTTTGCCTTGTAAACTAGCTCCAAGGAACTGCAGCAAATAAACTCCAAATCTGCCCAAACCACTTTCGGTGTCTGCTTGGCTGTGGGTGTCACCTCTTGTCAAGCCTGGGGTGGGGGACTGGTGTGCGCCTGTAGGATGGGTGTGGCTCGGTCCTGAGTGTAGTTTTGATTAAAAGCAGAAGCTGGGCAGGGGGCTGTGTTTCTCAAGGGACGGCATAACAAGGGGAGGAGAGCTTAACCTTTGCCCCTTCTTTTGGGGAAAGGAACTGAACTTCAAGGCGGAGCGTAAGTGTCCACATTAGCCACCTGCAGCATGGCATCGCACGTCCTTGTCACCAGGAAACAAAAGGCTGCATGTATGTGATCAGGGCGTCAGAGGTGGGCCTCTCTTTGCTTGCTTATTTCCTCCGTCCCTCCCTCCCTCCCCCCCTCTTTCTTTAAGATAGCATTTCATGTAGCTCAGGCTGGCCTTAAATTCCTTGTGCAGCTGAGGGTGACCCTGAGTTTCTGATCTTCCTGCATCCACCTCTCTCTCTAGTGCTGAGATTACAGGTATGTACCTTGTCCAGTTTGTGAAATGCTGGGGATTGCCCCAAAGCTTCCTGTGTGTGAGGTAAATGCTCTGTCAACTGAACTGCATCCCAAGCCTGGGGGGCAGGGGCAGGCCAGGGCCAGAGCCCCTTCCCACACACCAGTTCTCACAGCACCTGGCTCAGATGTGTAAATAATCCATAGTTTTCCACCTTTTAAATTATTTTGTATTTGTTTAGAAAAAAGAAAAGAAAGATTTGTCAAAATACAAAGAAATCACTGAAAGTTATTGACAGAGCGTCTTGAAAATATTATTATTATTATTATTATTCCAATTGGTTTTTTTGTTTGTTTTTACCTTGTAAACTTGCTCCAAGGAAGTAGGTCACGGGGGGGGGGTATTTTTGGAGACTGCGTCTTGTTCTCTCTCTGCCTCCTGTGTGCCATGAGGTAAGCAGCCCCCACCACACGGTCCTGCTGTCACGATCCCAGGGTCACCAGATCCAAGGACCGTGGGCTGGGCCCTCTGAAGCTGCCAGCAGATGAATTCTTTCCTTTTTGGTCCCAGCTATTTGGGTCACATCCGGATCCGGGGAGGGCCGACAACCTGGTTAGCTCCGTGCTTGGCGACCTGATCAGTGCCCGGATCTCCACCATGGCAGATAGGCAGTGTCGAGGTCAAAGGTGGAATGCACCTGGTACCAGACACGTCCTGATCGACAAGATGCCCAGCTTGGAGCCTCACCCCACTGAGAATGTGACCCAGAGCATGGCTGTGTCCCAGGTTCTCTGGGCCCAGTAGAAGGTGAATGCAAAACGTTTACTCACTTTTTCTCTGGAACCAGCCAATGTTAGACAATGCTCAGGGGAGGGCCAGGCATGGGTCTGTTTGTCTGTCCTGTCCACGGGTCTGGTCCTTCTGGTTAGAGGCTGTCTTGGTGGAAATGAAGTTGTTCATCCCAGCATCCATTGCTTAGCAGCCAGGGTAAACTCAGGCCAAGAGCAGTCTCAGGCTGGAGCAGGAGTGGGGCAGAGGGGGGCAGATAGCAGGGCCCTGTCTCCATCTCTGTCCCAGGTTGTTTCATCACATCGGAATGTGACGCGAGCCTCTCAGGTGTGTGTGTGTGTGTGTGTGTGTGTGTGTGTGTGTGTGTACTAACAGTGCCAGCCATGGGCATGTCACTGTTTACTCTGCAGGTCTGCATCCTGACGTGTGCGTGTCTGAGTGTGTCTGCTCACACCAAAGCTTGCCTTGTTTTGCTTTGCTCTGCTTTTGTTTGGTCCTGGTTTAATTTTGTCTTTTGTTCTCTTGAGAGGCTCACTGTGTAACCCTCACATCCCAGGACTCCCTATGCAAACCAGGCTGACCTCAGACTTGAGTAGAGCAGCCCCTGCTCTAGCCCCTCAGTGCTGGGAGGACAAGCCCATGCCACCACACCCGGCCTGGGGTCCTGCCTCATGGGCCTTCTGCTAATGAACTTTGAGAATCCAGAAGGGGTCGTCTCTGAGGTGAGTTGTCAATCAGAAGGAAGCCCATTGCTAACGCACCCGAGGCTGTGGTGCGTACCCAAGCCTGCTGGTCAGCAGCAGTCGGTTAGGGGCTGAGGCAATGTCCTTGATAGCTGGACACACTCACCCCGGGGGAAGCAAGGGCATGGCACCTCCAGGCTTCACAGCCGTGAGAGAGAACATGTGTGACCGTGGTGGAGGCAGTGGCATTGACAGAATCTATCCCAACACTGTAAGCAGACAGCCTTGGGTGTGCAGTGCAAGAGGCGCAAGGGTGACATGGGGGCCAGGTGGATCCCGTGGGAGGGCACGGAGGAGGAGATGTCAGGGAGGACTAAGGTGCCGACACACACACGGGGAACTGCCGAGCATGGCCCTTTCCAAGGTCTTAGGAGGGCACAGCCATTGGTCATATTACCCCTTACCGTGGCAGCTCCGGAACATACGCCACACACTCCATGAGTGGGCATCCCGGAGTGGGCAGGACCAGCATGAGGAGCCAAGGCACTGGACTTGTAATGATGTATCTGGGCATGGCTGCTGGCATCCACCCCTCCCCCCACCCACCCCCTGCAGACTGCTGCTGGGTCAAGGACATTCATACTTTCATGGACTCTGTCAGGCTGCAGGGTTCACAGACTGCAGGGGTGCATGGACTGCAGGGGTGCATGGACTGCAGGGGTGCATGGACTGCAGGGTACACAGACTTGGGGATACACAGACTGCAGGGTTCACAGACTACAGGGTTCACAGACTGCAGGGGATACACAGACTTGGGAATACAGACTTTGGGGTACAGGCACACACAGTATTCTTCAGTCAGTGTAACCCTCAGGCCAGTCCTTGGGCTCCAGGGCTCTGCAGGGGTGCCCAAGTCATTCGTTTGTTTTCATTTGTGGCAGGCTCTCAACATTAGCCCAGGAACCAAAGCCTGGGACTCACTGTGTAGCCCAGGTCGACCTCAAATACGAAGTCAGCTCCCTGTTCCCGCCCTTCAAGTGCTGAAATTACAGCTTGAGATCCCATGCCCAGCTTGAGTTGTTCACACTGCAGTGTCTCGGGGGGCATTTAGGAGTTGAGCCACTTTCCAGGGCTGGTGAGGACCTGATTTAAATGAATAGACTGTGGGGAATGCAGAAACTACACATCTCCCACGTAGTCAGAAGACAAGCTGATGTCAAATCCTAATGACAACCTCCGAAGAGCTGCTGAGAGACAGCGGAAGGCAGGGTAAAGAAGCCAAGGTTAGTCCATCCCAGGAAGCTGCACTTGCGCCTCAGACAGCAAGTGAGTGGGTCCCTGCCATTGGCTCCTTACTCGGATGCTACAGGTTGGTACAAGGAAGAAGGCATTGTGTGTCCCAGACAGGGCACAAGGCATAACTGTCTGAACAGCACAAATTGTGAAACATGATGTCTGTTGACCTGACCGACACATAAGGTCTAGTGAGGAAGTATGTTCCAAATGAAGAAGGAATTTTTCAAAATTTGTTTTTACTTTATGTACATTGGTGTTTTCCCTGTTTACATACATACATACATCATGCATACATACATATCACATGTGCCTGGTGCCCATGGAGACCAGAAGATGTCAGATCCCCGGAAACTGGAGTCACAGGTGGTTGTGAGCTGTCATGTGAGGTCTAGGAATCAAACCTAGGTTCTCTTCTAGAGCAGCCAGTGCTATCTTCCCAGCCCCAAGACTTCACTTTAAAAATCACTATGCGTGTTGCGCATGTGAACTGTGTATTATTGTGCAATGAAAATGACCTAAGGCCAGAGACCTCGGATGGGAGGAGGCGGCTTGAGGAAAGCCTGTCATCATGCAAGCAGTGGAGCCCAGACAAGCCAAGGCATCCTTCTGCCTCCAACCACAAGAGAATGATGGATACCTGGCTTGAATTTCATGCTGGGGAGAGGGATGAGATAAAGGGACCAGGTGTTAGATGGAGAGGACGGTGGTTCTGAGAGCAGAAGAACCCGGAGCTGATGGAGCCCAGCGCCCTGCATGGGGGCATTTTTGTGCCTGTTTGTAAGGTGACACCTGAGAAGGGGTATTCATTCTGACATGCTGATACAGGGGCACCCAGTGCCTTGGCCTGTCAAATCTGGGTCACAGGGAAAAGGAAGTCTGCTGTAGGTCTTCGTTTGAGGTCTGAGCTATGAGGTATGCAGGGGCTACCAGGGGCATCTGGGTCCTGGGCAGCAAGTGTGATGCTGGAGGTCTAAATACACCAGAGAAGGCAGGCTTCCCAAGTGTCCAACTCTCTGGCAAGGCCCAAGGGAGAGAGGCCTTATATCAGGTGTGACCCCAAGTATCTCCTGTCTCAGGAGAACTTCTTCCCCAGACCATGTTCAGACCCAAAGTAGAGCTCGCTAGTAAAGAGAGGAAAGCCAATGAGATCATGTCTTAGCTCTTGATAGAAAAACAGCCTAGCCCAGCCCAGAATGCCTCCATGTTGCCTGTGAACCTGTAACAATGGCCACACCTTTTAGGTGTGGTTACAGTTGTGGATGTGACCCGTTTGGGGCGGGGGGTGGGGGTGGGGGAGCTCCTTGGGTCTTGGAGAGCATCAGGGAGTCAGGGTCTGCATCCTTGGAGCAAAAACACCTGGACAGCTACTTACTGTTATCTGTGTAAGTTCATACCCCCTGTTTATCATTCACCTTGGGCTTGGTGAACTCATTAGAACTCCTCGCCTTCAGGCACGCACAGAGCTAGGACCATACAATTGAAAGACAAGAAAAACAGGAAACAAAAGCAGATCCCCATGATAATCTAATGAGGAGATCTATGGACACTCATTGTCCGATAAAGTCCCGTGGGGACAGCAAAGCCTTTTCAACACGCAGCATGGGAACCAACTACCTGAGTAAGCTGCATATCCTAAAATATTTCAAGACGGAGGGAGACTCGATCTCCGACATAAAGCCAAGAGGCCTCTAAATGAAAGCATAAAACAGTATACTTGTGAGCGTGGGGTCAACAAGGGTTCTTCACGGTGGAGTTAGAAAGACTG